ACTTCAAATCGTCCTTTTATGCAGAACTGTTTCGGTCAACTGAGGGACTTCGTCGAGATGGATTGAGATTGGTGACTTCGAGGAAACAAAGGCACATGGATTTACTTCGTAGAACCAGCATGGGAGAGAGGAGGAGATTGTCCCTGCGATGGGGATCGGTGACGGTAATGGTATCAAACGAGATGATGTCCAGTTTCTGTTTGCTGGTAAATGTTACCGCTGAACACTGAGCGCCGGGTGTAATGTGGGGCCATGCATGAAGCAGCAGCTCACTTACACGGGAACACGCTGTTCTATGCCGGGGGACCTGGTACAGTTATTTGTTTCTTTCTTTCCTTTGGGGATTGCTAGTGGCGAGTGACTACAAGGACAAAGAAGACTCCAACTCACTGGGGTGTGGTTGTAAAGAGTGATGGATTCATGGGCACACGATACGGATTCACCATCAGACGGATGTGTCATCTAGATTCAGCCATGAATGTGGAAACAAACGTCGTTGATCAAGAAAGGCAACTTCCTGTGGAACTAGGAAAAACAGCGCCCTACTTGGTGTGAGGTTCGGCAGGCCGCCAACAATGAATGTCTTAATTTCAGTGTCCTCTGTCCGCTCCTTTAATCACACTCTGAAGGGCCATTCATCTCAGAAGACCCGAAACAAACAATGCTTTGTTGCGCTGTTCTCCCCCACAAACGATGTCGCATCGACTATCAACTTATCAAGCCACAGCCTTCTTGATTGCATTCTGGTACCCCTCCAAAATCGGGGATATGACCGGGAGCGACAGTTTGATCGTAATCCCTTGTGCTTCGGCATCTACTATTTTGTTAGCGGCAACTCATAATAAGCTTAAGGATGCGCCCACTTACATCCCAGCCCGTGGATTTTGGTTGCAGGTCGTCGGAAATAACTCAATTTGGCTACCCATTTCGAGGTCGAGCAACTGCCCATGCTCGGCGAGAGCGGCCACATTCGCCCTTCGCCGTCGCTCGCTCTTAACTCTACTCCATATCTTGTTAATTCCTTGTCAATAAGCGGGCCTACATTTGGGGTAGGGATCGGTAGGAATCAGCTTACTCAACTAGGCGACGCCTTTCCGCGAGATTCGCGTTGTACCAGTGGTCCTTGAAAGTTGGCTTGAAATGAAGATTTTTTTAATAAACGTAGCACTCGTATACAAATATCTCTGTATCTGATCCTAGCTGAAAACAGTTCCACCTTCCGAACCCATGACGAACCACGTTTCTGTCCAGCACCCCTGGGAGACGATTCATGTAGTCTGTCTTCACCATTGTCCTAGGGTAGGATCGATCCGAACATAGAGAGCGCGATGTATTAGTGTAGATGAGATGGGGCCTGGTAAAACGAGAAGTGAAGTCTAATATAGCGTTTTGGGAATGCATCACATTTAACAACGGCCTCGGTTGCTGGCCGTGCAAGACTGAGTAATGGTTGAGGCAATTTGTTGTCCAACTGGGATTCCATAACACAAATCCCCACCAACAGAAAGCCCGAGGTAATGTGTTATTATTCTGTCTCCGGGCCCCAGTCCACAACATCCACGCCTTTACCTTTTCCTTCCATGAGCGCCTCGAGTTTATCTTCGTTGGTGACCCATCCACGCCTCTTCGTGGCGACCGCGTATTTAAGAGAATCCCGCCATTCTCTCCACCAAACAGCCTCGCTCTGAACGATGCATCGGCGACCGTCAGTTCCATTCCGGGAAGTCGCGAATGGCCACACAGCCTGTACTACCTCGTACTTATTCTTCCCGGCAAACAAGGTAGTGACACTAGTGAAGAAGCGGTTGACCCTGTCTGGGCTTTGCACGACGACCCGCGCATGCGTAACAGGGAAGGTGATCGTCACCACCCCCTTGTATCCGGTTGATGCGATGAGACTACGCAACTGACCCTCGATCCAAGGCGTGTCGAGGTTAGCGACGACCCTGTTGAGGGTGAAGGACTTGACTTGCGCGGGGTCTTCCACAAATCGCCGGCACCACTCTTCGAGGCCCCCATCGCCAACTTCTGGGAGAACATCCGGCTTGACACCCCCACGGTACGCGACCTCCCCGTTACCCACGCAGCGAACATAATCCATGCGTTGTTTGGGGTCGTCGGGGATAATTGTGCTCATGAGATTGAATTTGATGTCGAAGTCCGCCTTCCTATTGCGAGAACCGACAATGTGTATCTGCGGCTTTGGCGGTATACTAGCCTGGCTGCGAATCAAGTCAACCAATGCGGTAGCAGATTCGCTGAGATACTGTGCCTTGGACGATAGTGTAGTGCAGTCCGCCGAGAGCTCGAACAGTGGAGGCGAATAGAGCTGGTAATCCACTTTGGGGAGTCCGGGGTAGAATTGAGGACCATGCCTGTTGCGTCTCTGGCCTGGAGGGAGTTGAATATCAGTTGTAGGGCCTGAATAAGGCGGCGGGGTTATTGGCCTGTCTGCGACATCACCGAAGCTGGCGAGGGAGACAGGCACCGTAGCGACTCGTGTGGTCTCCGTCCCTCCACGAGAACCCGTCGAGGGGCCTCCTTGACCATCATATTCAGCGTGTATGTTACCCTTTTCCGCCATTATTGATGTTCCAGCATGCACCATAACTGGCAGCGCACCGAAGGCAAAGACCACCACAGAAGTCGCAAGGATGAGCTTGGCGAGGTTGTGAAGCAAATCCCCAGCCTTGACTCCTAGCCTTGGTCGTTGAGAGGCAGGGCAAGAAAGAATTGGGGGTTTCTTCTCCTTTTCCTTTTACCCGTTTTCTCTTGAACTTGTCGTTTACTTCTCTCCTTTCAACTCGGGGAGGCTCAATCACTCAAGCTGCCTCCCAAATACAAAGTCAGCGACTCATTCGAAGCATGGGGATTTGAGGCGAAGCTCCAGGCAGGCAATCAATCCTCTATCGAATACGACCTGATACGACAATGGATCAATCGATTGATGCCTTTGGTGATGACTAATCATACAATCTCACATGCAGGACGTTCATTTGGACAACCAGCGACAATTAGATGGAATTGGCAACATCAATTGATGGAGCTTTTAACAATTCAATGGATCTGCATCAGCCATCAATTTAGACGGAACACTGAGCTGTTCGTAATAACACGGTACCGCCGCCGAAACGGACTGGTTTTTTCCTACTTGCTTGTTGATGTCACAGATGGGAGACATTCTTTGAAATGCCGAAGATGCTGTCCATTACGAACAGAGAGTGTTCTTTGAGTCCAGGCATGCCTGACTGCCCTCCTCAATCCTTGCTAGACTGCGAGACTGACCCCAGTGAAATTTTAGCTCAATCCCACCCAACTCTAGAAGATATTGTTTCTCAGTTGGAGGGGAACGAAGGCAGCGTGGGTGAAGCTCTGCGTTCCCTACTAAGAGGGCAGAACTTCCTGCGAGACTAATCCTGCATTATCAAAATATAGTTACTGGATCTGGAAACCATTGCAGATCAGATAAGCAGTTTAGAGAAGATCCCGTTTGGAGAACCGGAAGCTGCATCGAGAATCACCAAGGTTATCGAGTTTGCGGGCCATCAGCTCTCAACCCTCTATCTAAACGATGCGGTTCGCACCGAGAGCCCTAGAGTTAGAGAGCTTTCTCTGGCAATTCTCGACCGGCTCACGTCCGATCCTGAAGTCCTCTTGGAAAGTGACATTCTTATAAGCCTTGTTGCCCACGCGGACTCAAATGCCCCTTGGGCTACAGATGCATCGGCCCGCGTTTCCTCGGAGATATTGTCTCGACAGTTTCGTCAGCTTGACAAGGCCGGCTTTATCGTCTCGACAATACTGGAGGCCACGATCAAAAAACGGCTTGATTCCTACAGGTCCACAAAGCTAACCTCCACCGGGCGCGTTGCGCGGTTTGACGACGGCCTAGCAAATATCCAACCCCCAGGGTCAGAAGTTGAATCGCCATTCACAGGTGACGGAATTTATCTCCTTTCACTTTTTCAATGGGCCTTAGCCGAGTCAAACGTGCGACTGCCTCCCAAGTGTGCCTCGTTGGATGGCAGCTGCTAATAAGTTGATAGGCCGCTCTTGTCCAAAAACATTGGCCACTATATATGCCCTTGTTACTCGGCCTTTTGGAGGACAGTCGTACCCCATTCAGAAAACATGGGCTGGAGTTGACAGATCTTTTCATACACCGATGCCCTGCCTATATCTTGAGGGACAGCGGTATTGTTGAGCTTTTGGAGGATGTCATCTTTCCAACACTTCATTTTCTTCCAGCACAAACTGGGGAGGTTGAATCTTTGCAGCTCCTGGAACCCGCGTACCGGTCACTCGTTGCATTAGCCCACGTTTCATTCGACCGTGAACTAGATTTGCCTAGGAAGCGACGATTACTTGACCGACTCTTAAAAGACGCCGTGTTTCTATCCTATGCTCACTCGTCCGAGTACACCAGTATCGTCGGGTTCCTCGCACGTCAAGCGGGAATAATAACCGATGAACTGGGTATTTACGCGGCGAAACACCTAAAGGTTAGACTCCTGCCTTGCCAAGGTGCTCCGATTTTGTCTCCCCATTGACGCTCCGATGTTAGGGATTGATAATCATGGGTGCTTCGATCATGACGGATCCATTCACTGGCACCGACCGCGGATGCGTAATGGCCGCCATCGGTGTCCTAGAATCCGCGGTTGTTCATTGTTGGCCCAGAGCTCTCGATGGTTATCGGGCCCAGATCATGCGGGCCAGTGCTTTATGCCCGATAAACCTCGAGGGTGAAGAGCAATATGGCCACACATGTGAGGACTTGGACATTGTCAAGACCCGTTTGCAAAAACTGACTCTGCTATGGTCTTCTCCACCACCGAATGTGGACAACCCGATACTATGAAAGACATGTTGAGAGCGGTAATCTTTAATCAGACATGGTTTGATCGGGACTTGCGTGCTAGCTACAGAAAGGGTAGGATAGGGAAACGTGCGCAGAAATCACCGTGTCTGCTTGGCGCTCTAATTACTGGTCAATTATTTTAATCGACTGGTTGCTGTTTGAAGAACGACTTTCCCCGCAGCCACTTGCGATAAGCTTTATATCGCTTTTTCTCTCCGTCTTCCTCCGTCACCGTCAAAGGGTTCTCACCGACCTTCAATAATTCCGTATACACTTCGTTCTGGTCTTCCGCTCCGCTCGGTAAAAGACTGTTGGATTGCCAGTTGCCAGCTACATATTCCTGGTATTCCGAATCATACTCTTCTGGCAGGTTAGCAGACACGACGAGCGGGAGATTCTGAGGATGGGCGATGTATCTGGCATAGTCATCCATCTCTTGGGCGCTCACTGTGGGGTTCAGGGACTCGTGGACAGCCTTTTTGAACGTCCATTGTGCGGCTCTCGATTTCTCTAGGGCCGACTGCTTGGGCGGCTTGGGCGATTCGTCAGTTGCGTTTACTTCTTTGCTAGCGGCGTGGTCGGCCAACGAGCCATGCTGGGTGGGTTGTAACCATCGATGGATTGAGATACCCCTGCCACCCAATGCCCTACTTGCCATGTCGGAAGCTATTCCAGGGTCGGGCGGTACGTGACCATCAGAAGATGGGACCACAACAGCTACCCCTTTCTTCGCCTTGATCTTATCCTGGTCGTCAATGTCCGAGATCATTCGTACCCGAAACGGACTCAGGTCGTATTTTCCCATTTGCGACGACCTGAAGGGTATGTATTTTATGGTGGAGTTCATCTTATACGGAAACATCTTGAGGAATGATGATAACGTTGATGGCCGGTAATATTCTAGCCAGTAATCATCGACGACAGCTTGGAGGACGTTCTCTCGGCTTTGCAAATTTCGTGTAAGTCTCGGGAGCACCCGAGTGGCAAGGTTCTCGGGTGTATACCAATGTATATAGTTATGCTTCGCCTTGTCTGCCCATGATCTGGGATCAGAGTGGTGTAGGTAATAGTCGGTTGTGAGATCCCAGAGCATGGGCTGCCCTTGGACGAATTTGTAGTTGCCGAGGAAGAGGTTGTAGGCTTCCTGGCGCTGCCCGTCGAGGAAGGAATTGTTGTAATAGCGCTTGAAGCTCTCAATCATATCTCTCGAGTGACTTGTCCACTGATTGATTTTTCGGTACGTCTCCATTGTGTTGACGAGTTGGGAGCCACCATATTGGACGGCAATAGTGTCGCCGTGGTCGTGGTACATATGAGTGAAGAGGTTGACAGCATCCGTATCATAGTCGATCGAAGTGTTCTCCAGAATACCCAGGGCATGAAGCTGATGCCCGAGCGCTCGCTTTCCAATCACGAACTGAGCGGCGTTTGTTCGATCTAGGCAATCGATGCAGTTGGTGCGGGCAATCCCATTTTGAACTCTACCCGTTACATCAACCCCATCACCATTTTGGAAAAACCCAGTGGTGGTAACAACCTCCTCTGCGATGGATTCTAGAGTGCCGATAACATCTTGGTCTCGGCTCTTAGCCGCGCGACTCATATCCCATGCCTTGTGAATGATTTTCTTACCCGAGGGCAGGAACTGGTTTAGGTATTGGATGGCATTCGTATATTCAACGAGTAGTTTGGATTCCCGCGGTATGCGCTCTCTCGCCTTGACGAGATCAAGGGCGTAAATAGGAGCTCCGTACCGGTCAAAGAGGTTGTCGAAGTGCAAGGCCGCGGCGCCGAAGAACGGGTCGATGAGGTTCAACTCTATTGGAGGTTTGGGAGTTACGCCTGCCGTCTCCTGCGTCCAATGGAGAGGAATGCTCCCACGATGTTGCACGTACGAAGTGAACTGATGGTTACTAAACAGTTTAGGGCCTGGTGCATGAAATGAAGTCGTGAGGGCCTCTGAGACTATTTGCTCGGTTTCCACATCGTTTGCCACATATCCCTTCAGGAATTAGAACCAGTTTTGAATTGAGAGAGATGTCGGAACCCCGTCTTACCAGGTCATTGGCCCCACGCTTGAGAAACCTCGCACCTGCGAAGTATCTCGACCTTCGTGCAATGATTGTTATGTGCGCTGTGCGGCCGTATATTGAAAGGGCTACGTATGTATCGTGTTAACTTCTTATCACAAGTACTAAATGCCTCTAAGAAGTGGCATCCATGTCGCTGTCTTACCGGCCTGGTCAATGTATCCATGGATGATGGGACGGCACCAGTCGTAGGGATCCTGCAAGGCACTGGCGGCTGGTTGGAGGAGGTGAGAATTCCACACAAACATGGAGTTGAAGTCGTGGTGAACCGGGATGTGGGAGCCCCTCGCGAGCGCCTCCCTCTCTCGGGACAAGTTATGTTGCAGGGTACTCGTAATATCGTAGGAGTAACTGTAGTAAAACGACCGTGTGAGGTCCAGGTTGTTCAGTATTCCCAGAAATCGCTGCTCCTCGGTGTTTCTCCCGTCCGCCCTGAATCTCGCAGGCGTGAGGGGAATGAGCTCTGTTCCTTCAATTTGATAGATGTAGTGTCCGCCGATCATGGCCACGGTGGACTTCTTGGTAATGAGGAGCATGTAATAAGGGCCGGTAAACTTGATGAATCCCAACAGGCCCCAGGTGGTGCAACGGAGCTTCATGCCCCCAGTCGCCTTGTTGCCGTGGTCGATGGTGTCGAGTAGCTGGTTCATCTCCCGCTGGCTGTAGACGATTTTATCATCTGTAATGCTCAGCTCGGAGTCGTCACTAGTCCTCTCGATCTTGAGCATGCGATAACGCCTCTCCGTCGTATCACCGCCTACAATGTAATACCGAGTAGCTGTCTCATACAAGCTAAATTTATGCATCTTGTAGTTGACACTCCCCCCTACCTTGTCGTCTTCGAGATACACAGGTTGACTTCCTTGGTTGGGGCTCGAGATGCGGACAAATGGTTTGGCAACGGCCGGTTCATCATCATTGTCATCCTCAACTGAATGGCCTGCTGTCCCTCCATCAAACAAGAAAGATGACTCGGCGTCATCATTTCGAAGCTCGGGAAATGATGGCTCATCACTAGGTGTGGTTGGGTTTGAGTTTAGTGGATAGGGGTGGTCTACCGCAACTAGCCCAGCTAAATTCTCGTCGCCCATGGCGAGAGACGAAGTCAATCTTATCCTGGCTCTTGGTTGTATCCAGTTTCTTGCATCACATGAAAGGGGGCGTTGAGGATGGGGATGGCGTTATTTCCTCAACGACGCTGGCCGTGTCTGCCAGGGAACTCGTAGTGAACCAGCTTCCACTCAGGTCGGCGAATTGTGTGGTCCGGAGGACGTGACGACAATAGTATCCGAAGACGCAGCGAGTCCTATGAAGTCATGAACGAGTGTCGTACACTATTATTTGCATCAAATGAGAAGAAGAGAAATGCACTTGATGGTGTGCCGCCAATTACCCTTCCCCCAATTATCTCACACTGTGTCCATGAATAGTCCGGACACAGGCGCGGTGTGCTGAAGAAATGTCAACCAAAACCGACAGGTGTAAAATCGTAAATACCAAGCATTAATTGGCAGATGTGCAACGAGAAAGGTCAATTAATTGATGCGAATACATCATTGGTCGCCAACTGATACGAGCCACGACCGATCTGGGCACCTCCTAGTCGTCAGAAGGAAACTACATCGCCGGCTACAGCACACGCATGTTTGCAAAATACTGTCACAGTTTTGTAAATACCAACTCTTGAAGCTGGCCCGAGTCTCCTTTAGATCCTAGCCAGACAGTCTGCTGGAAGATGGAGAAACCTCACTGGGGGGATTCAAGGCCAGGAAATCAGACGACCCCAATCTGAAAAGGGAACATTGAAATATTGCACCTGGTGAAGATGCACTGTGAGACCTCTGAGTTCACCTCAACAGAGTGTACTGGAAGAATGAAGGTTGACGTGCGTCAGCTCCCGGGGACTATTGTAAGTCACTTCCAGTAAGTGAATACGGACCAGTGTATGTTCTTAATGCGGGATGAGGCGAGATGGGGCGAGCTTCGGATTACCTGCTATCAACCTAAGCTTGTGGAACCCCGAGTTCTATTCTTCGTTTCTGGACCTCGTTTATGACCTTGCCTGCATCTGTAATATCTGGGTGCCTGAATTGCCATGCGAGGCAGACGTCAAGTGCCTGGGCCATCCAAGGTCCCGGTTTCACTCCAAGTGATCTCGCTAGCATATGCCCGTCGACCAATGGTTTGGTTGAGGGTGCCTCCATCACGTCTAGGTCCGCCAGGTGGACGAGGAACTTCTCCCACTCCCCGATAAACGAGTGGAGGCCTGCGCATAAATTAGGCTCTAACCAACGTCCTGACGATGAATTGCAGGGGTACTTACGATCGGAAGAAACGGGCCACTTCCCAAGCTCCTGCATGGCTTCGATCAGGATGCAGTAGAGAACTTGCAATCTCCAGTAGCCCCCAAAGCCGTCCCACTTGCATATTGCCATGGCGAACAGATCTCGTCGGTTACGAGATTCATCCTCTGAACACGCTAGCTGCTTTAGCTGTAGAATATTTCTCCTATGGAGATGCGATGACGCAATAACGGCACACAATCTATTGGCCGCCTTAATCCCTTCCCTGGCAGCTCGCAGAATGAAAGGCACCGCATGTGCCTTCGATTTTCCTGTGGGCGGTTGCGGGTCATCGACACTTTCCCAAGGGGCAAGCGCCACCAGATTCCAGGCGAGGTACGCATCGGCGTCGCTTTGGACGAGTTGATTGCATAAAGGCTTGATGATGACGTCATGGGATCGCAATACTTCCATGAGGCCATAGGCAACGTGCCACGAGGATATATCTGGGACAGGCATCCGCTCAAATGTTGGATCTGTGAATATCGTGTGGTAAAGCCCGAGCCTGTCAATGAGACTGAGGGCAGCGTGGGGGCGGTTGCCTATAGACCAGGAGTATAAGCTGGTGAGAAATTGGGAGAGCGCACCATGGGTGAAGCCTGAGGTTCGAACTCACCTCTTAACATCTTCCCGATCTCAATCCCCACCCGCTCGCGACTGATTTTTGCCTGGAACGATTTCAGAACACGGTCGTCGCCCATCAGCTTTTCGACGTCGGCCGCGATCGTGAAGTCCAGGCGGCTGGCAAACCTCACTAATCTCAACACTCGAAGAGGGTCATCCATGAATGTTTGGAATGGGTCTAATGGAGTTCGGATCAGACGAGCATTCATATCCGAAATACCTCCAGTGAAATCCTCAACTTCATCCGTGTGAAGGTTGTAGAAAAGAGCATTGACGGTGGCATCTCGACGTAATGCGTCTTCGAGGGGGGTCCCAAACTCAATTTCAGGATTCCGACTGCCCTCAGAATAGGTCTCCTTCCTGAGATTGACGAAATCCACGTCGGCGCCGAAGATGCGGCAAGTAGCGGTGGCGAGGTGTTTAGACTTTTCCGGGTTGGCCTTGATGGTGTGAATATTGCCTAGGTCTGTCTCTGTAATCGAGTACTTTTCGATTATGGAGGGGGAATGGCAGAACTCGCGAAACCTTTGGCCGAAGTCTTCACCAGTCATGCAATTGATTGCTACATCAATGTCGTGCGTCTCAATGCCCAGTAGCTTGTCGCGAACCCAACCCCCAGCCCAGCGTAGGAGTACAGGGTTGCGGCGAGATTGACCCGAGGCAGTTTCGTCCAGGTCCGTCTGTGTGGTGTTGATAGATGAGGCAACATCTAGAAGAAGGCGCTTCAGCCGTTCCTCACCTGGGGAGAGTTGAATGGTAGGCGCCATGGTCGCTATACTTTGCTTGGGACTACTGGCCTCTTGATACAATCCAAACTTCCTTTTCATGGTAAAAAAATGTATGCGAAAAGGGAAGCCGAATGTTGGATATCGGAGAAAGGCTCGCTGCATCTCCTTCGCTCTAGCCTGTAAACACAATGCCTGACCCACAGAGGCTTGGTTTACCTGCGTTGACTCATTGCAGGTTGAAGACAACAATAAACACAACATGGAATCAATTGATGACTGTTTGACCTTGCTCCATTGTCGGGGTCGCAGCCTTTGAGGGGCCTTGTGAACTTTAGGACAATTGTCTACAGTTGTACAATTGTACTGCCCGGCTTGTATAAAGGTACACAGGTACGGCAAAGTTGCAATTTGAAATGTGCGCTCGATGACATAAGCTTCCTTTTTGTCACAATTGCACTCCTTCCTTCAGTTGTGGTACAATTGTACTAGGCTCAGCAAGAAGCGTACAATAATAAGACGCAATTCTGTGAAGGGGTTATCTTGGGGATTCGGGCCGTCGGTGTCGGGACCTAGTATAAACGCCATGATAAAAGACCTCCACATCTAGGAAGAAAACTAGAGGTAGATTGAAAAAAAAAAAAAAAAAACCGTTGATGAGTCTGGTCTGAGGGTGGTATCATTATTGCTGGCTGAGTGAGATATTCTATCTACATACAGATTCAACTGAAGCCCATTTCATACAATCATTCTTTCCCCACGCCGAAGCCATCATTGATCTTCTTTCAACCCCAAGTCATTTCCACCAAGATGAGCCGACGAGGAAATCAAGGTGAGAAACAGAAACGAGAAACAACAAATGAGAAATTCAGCCATGGCTGCAGGGAATAAAGACTGGCCTGTAAGATGCATGTCATTCTTCATCGGCTTCATCAATGTTTATGGCATCGGGGTTGGCTGTCACCGGATGGATGTAAGTTGCCACCACCCCCTGAGCCTTGAGTCCTGGGCTTGTGGCTGCAACGAAACCAACAGGGGCTCTCGCCTGTCGTTCTAAGGCGGCCATGGCGTCGCCGACATCCTCTTCTCCAGATTCTGGTTGTCGGGTCTGGCCTCGAGCGATAGCCTGCGAAGCAATAAAGTTGACGTCCGTATTGTACTGCGCTTGTACACTTCGTTTAATGCGTAGCATTTCCTTGAAAGTATCTTCATTGCCGTGCTGTACCTCGAAAGCCTCCCACTTGGACCAAAACTCGGGATTCGTCCTGGGATCGCAGAATTGAGAAGCATGACCGTAGATGGCGCGAGCTCGGTCGATTTCTCCAAGACGTTTCTCCATGTCGGCAAATTTCAAGCACATGTCTCTTGCTTCCCCGTCTGGCAGCGTAGATATCGCCTTTTCGTAGATGGGCCGCGTCGATGGTAGGCCAAAGTTGGATGCAGACTTGGTGATGTAGAAATTAAACATATCTGCGCGGTCTTCTTCCGCAACCGCGCGAGTGGCCCGCTCATAAATCCTCATCGCATGCCGCGCTAGGCCTCTTTCTTCCTCCAAGTTCCCGTACATGAGGTAAATGACTTTGGCAAACTTCGCAGGGCAGCCTTCAATCGCCTGCTCGAAAAGATCCCGCAAACGCTCAATGCTAATTCGGCGGTCCACTGCCTTGCTAAGATATAGATTCCAGAGTTCGAATGCGACCGGATAGCTGAACAGGTCAAGGCCGCGTTCGTAGATCTTGAAGGACTCTTCAAAGTATTTGTGCTCCTCCAGGAGGTTGGCGTAGTTCACGACGGTTTGTGGAGTTGCGATTCTCAGTTCGAAAATGCGTTCATACACTTTCCTAGCCTCTTCGAGAGAGCCCACGCTCTCCACAAGGTCCACATAGAAGCTCCAGAGTTTCCAACTCTTGTGGACTCTCTGCTGCGGAGATAGATTTTCGTCAAAGTAGTCAACGGTTGATCGTTTCGGCGCTTGGACTGCTTTTGCCATTATACGGACAGCGTCGCTGAAATTGTCATTTCTGAGCTCCATTTCCGCCCATTCGATCCACATATCTGCCAGCTCGGCGACGGACTTGAAAGGAACCTTGACCGCTTTTTCCATAATGATCCGAGCAGTCCGAAGGTCACCCCCCTTTTCGTAGAATCTCGCATAGTTTGCCCAGAGCTGATGGAAAGCGCCGTACGCCTTCTTTGGCTGGATTGCCGCTATAGCGTTGGTGTAGGTCCTCACGACTTCCTCGGAATTATCGCCCCAGAGGACAACCCGTTTTTCCCACTCTGCGACATTATTAGGGTTCTGACGAAGGTGGAGGTCATTGAGAAGGAAGGGCCGGCGATCCATGAGTTGATCGAAGTGCATGATCCTTAAATCAAGCTCGAAGTCTGCGTCTGCATCTGCGGGCCCATCGCCACGGTGGGCGGCCGATTCCATCATGCTGTCGATGACAGACTCTTCGAACTCTATGTAGGAGTCGAAAATGAGTGCAAAGTCACGAACCGTCATCACGGTAGTTATTCCCTCCTCGAAAATATCCCTGGCATGGTCAAGGTTACTCTTTCTTACCCAGTAGGCCGCTAGGCCACACCACAGTTTGCCTCTCTGATCTGGGAACCGAGCGAGCCCAGTCCGTATGATACGTTCCGCATCAATTCCGCACTCTGCACTTGAGTCAATATCTGTAGCATGCTCAACCAAAAGATCCACCATCTCACTCCAGAGCTCATAGGTTCCCTTGCCATATTTGCTCGAAAAAAGAGGATTATTTAGAATCGCCAAATAAGCTTGCACTGCATCGGTGTAGAGCTCAAGATGGCTGAGGAGCCCGATGAAATCTTCGGCGTCCTCAGGATGAACCTGCATGTATCTTCTCCAGACCTTGATCGAAGTGTTTCCCGATGCCGAATTTGCAAATGGACGATATAAAGCCCATATCCGGTTATGCTGCGTTATCGGAAGAGCTCGAAGAGCTCGATCGAATGCCCGGCGGGTTAAGGTGAGGGAAGGCTGCTGCATCAGAAACTTTAAATACATTTCCCAAATTCGCGGCATCTTGTTCAGGAGAATCAATGCTCTTTCGAAAAGAGCATTTACCTTCCGGAACTCGGCTGAAAAAATAGCTGGGTTGAGCTTAGAAACATGTCTCGTTCGAAAGTCGAGGTACTAGGAGAGCATCGTCAGTATAAAATCGCCGTTGGGTTGATTCGATTGGGAAGAGGCCCGTACTGCTTTCCAAAGCTTATACGAGCGTGGCAATTGCCGGCATGCCCTTTCCAGAACGAAGGCCTGCTCATGTGCTGTGCCATGCTGGGTTTTGAAGCTAATGTAGGACAGCCAGGGCTTCGTGCTCCCAGGGTTGCGGATGATGTCCTGTTCATAAACCGAATCTTCCTCGGACTACAGGTTGGGGTCGCATGTCAGTAGAGGGACGGTAACTACTACCGAAGGTTGATTTAGATCCTCTGGATTCACATACCACTAGGTTCAAAGATGGACATCTCGTGGTCGCTTCAGCCTGGTCCTTAAAGGGAGGCATAGTTGAGGTTGAATGTTGAAGAGATTGTGAGGCGGGTCAAGACGATTCAGGCAACTGAATCTAGGAATTCGAAGCGGAGACCACAGTCGGACACGCATGCATCATTTTGGTGAAAAGGAAAGGCAAATTCCAGTGGTTTCGATCGGCGCGCTTTTAAGGCGGGTAACAGCAGTACAACGGTGCCATGAGAAAAGGTTCGCTTCATGGTGTTTGGGTCTGGCCCATCTGGGGGAGGGGGTTGGCTGACGGGAGAATGCGGTTAATTGCAAATATGCATCAAACGCGCTTCTATTCGGATTCGAAGAGGCAGCACTCGAGGCGGTCATGTCATCATCGCACTAACAGTCAAGTCCTGGCTCGTGCTGGATCGGATTCAATACCTTTGTACATGTGACGTAACTAGCCTGCTTATCGAGTTATTGATCACAGGGACTTCATAGATGCGGCCTCAATGAGCTACAGCCTACAACTGACAAATGCTTTGAACTTGTGGCAACATTGACGTCGTGCATTGTTCGAATATTGAAGATACACCACCATGGCCGAGGCAGCGGTACGATCCCTTTTTACATTCCTCAGATGGATACCGTGATTAACGTTGTCGATTTAGGGACGTGAGGCCGTTTTCCCGACGAGACAGTCACTTGGGTTGATGAAAGCGAAGCTTAAGGGTGCTGAAACAGGACATAGTCTCTTGAAAAGGAAGAGCGAGGCACTGACAAAGTAGGTTTGGGAATATTTATATGTTAATTTTATTTTCTCTAACGGGGCTCTTCCCTCAGGCGTTTCAGAGGTGTGGTATTTTAGTCCTCTCTGTTGCTTCAAACCGCGCTCTAAACTACCATGCTCAGAAATCACGAAACGAATCCACGATGCGAAGCTTAAGCTTGGACGTGTCATGTCAGTAGCTGCATTCTCGCTAGCGGAGGTCACCTATGCCGTCGGGGGAGATATCGGGTATCAGGTGCAGGAGTCCGCCAAGTCGGCCCGCTTCCGGCTCACCACTAAACAGGATAACGTATCCGGGGTCTTGCTGCCTAGATATGAGAGTCATATATCAGATGGGAATAGTGACTTTGGCCTCACGGGTCTAGGGAAAGGCGGCCAGCAGGTCCAGAAATGCCGAGAGACATATGCTCGAGCTGTTGAGGCATTGGTTGAACTTGCCACTCTACAGGTTTGTTTCAAGACCTACCTAGCTACGCGACACACTTTGAATCTGAAGAACTAATGTCTCCATCCCGGGGGGAAAGACTGCATTTGTTATGCTCGACGAAGTTATCAAGATGGTTAACCGGCGAGGTAAGAACCGCTCAACGCAAACAACAGGATGCCGACACTAATCATGGCGACAGTTAACGCAATGTATCTATTATGCCACCGAGGGAGCTGCTGCTGTTCATCGTTCTAATGCCCTTTCTAGCGAACACGTCGTAATCCCGAGAACGGAAAACACAATCAAGTGCAGGTCCCCCCTCTATCTTTGCAGGATTTGCGCGTTGCACTGCGCTACTACTTCAATGGCTAACTTTGCTCTAGACATCAACGCCGAACTCGATGAGCTTGACCGAGAAGAGTTTTACCGGCTGAAAAAGGTTTGTGCCTCGTGGCTAACCTATATTCTTGTTCGTGGCTAACATCTATGTAGGTGGCCAAGAAAAAGGAGAGGGATAATGCGGCGCTTGATGCGGAGCTGAAGAAGAGACGTGGTGCCGATAGTAATCTCGTGGGTGCGGATGAGGACACCCCGACGAATATTTTGGCTGTTGAGGATGATGATGTCATCTTCTAGACCCTCGTTCACGATAGCACGTTGAGCTTTCCTACTTGGGGCGGTTTTGAACCACCCACACGTTGAAGTTGTTTCTCCTATTTCAGCGGGTTTTCCGGGGGCAACTCAGGTTTGATAGGACTGGGATAGGAGCTTGGCGGTAGCATAATAGCCTCATTGCCGTTGATAGGTAACCTTCATTGCCTGTCCCGATTCCCCTAGGGCCATCCCGGCAGTATTCTCCTTCGCGGTGATGGCGCCATGTTCTGCCTCGTACTCTACAAATGCGATACCCTTGCGTCCAGGGACCAGTCGCACCTCCCTAAATCCATCGAAACGACCGAAAATGGACGTTAGAGAGTCCACATCGTAATCTTCTGGTATGTTTTGGACGAAAAGAGTTTTGTTTGGTGGCAAATACTCGTCGGGGACCAAGGTGTTCGAGGGAGGGTTGCTAGACTTGAGGCCTGCACCGCGGGTCAATCTAGCAGGTCGGGAAGTTAGATCTTGAGAGGGGGCAACTCTCTTGAGTCGTTTTTGCTCGTCGGCAGCCTCGAGGGCACGTCGTTTGTCTGCGTGAGGGACCAACAGGATTAGTCTGCAATGCGTAAGGTTGCTAGTATAACAAGGGCGCCTACCTTTCTCAGCTACACGTCTTCGTTTATGTTGCTCAAAGTCTTCATCGGAGCAAAGACCTCGGACAGTTGCATCACTTCTCGTTCTCGCGAGGGCTAAGCGCATTGGCTTCTCGAAGAGCTGAAACCCTTGAAGTTCTTCAATAGCCTCCTGCGCCACGGCGGGGTCGTCAAAGACGATGAAAGCTTGCCCCTTGGCCCGGAGATTCGCCTTCGCCACTATCTCAATTACGTTTCCGTACTCTGAGAAGACTTGGGAGAGGGCTTCTTTTAGGGTCTCGATTTTGACCCGCTCTTCCAGGTTGTTCACGTAAATGCTAGTCAGGTGTCAGCCAAATGCTAGATACATGTCGGAGTGCAATGACGCGTACGTAGCAATCGGTGGTCCAGAGGGTGTCATCTTGATTCGATTTGTCAGAGCTGATACGAAGAACGGGATGGACGGAAAGATGAAGGCGAGGATGAGAGAGAATGGTCACCAAAGAATAGAACAACGGAGTAAATCATTGAGCGACGACCTTGTATAAACTAATTGACCCGTTATATGCATACGGAGGTTATTCCAAAATCAGAAAACTATTATTATTAGGTGCAAGCTCCACTGGAGCCTGACAGCTTGGATTGGGGGACCAAGACAGTGACTTCCAGTCCACGGGGCCCCGTCAGTGCGCAGAAAAGTGTGGAAGAAGGTAACTCGGTGAAAGCAACATTCATATATATATTTACCTACGCAAGCGCAAGCGACAATGGAGCCTTCGCTGCCATCACGTTCTTAGTCATAACTCTTATGGTGGTGAAGCGACCGACTGTGGCGGAGTGGACTGTCAAATATGGTTTGTTTCCTTCTCATTGACCCTTATCAACAGTTCCCATTTCCTCGTCAGCTCGATGCCTCATCCTGCCCATCCAGTGCCAGTTCGCTTTTTAGCTCGGGCAAGAATCGATCAATCCGCTTCCACGTCTCTACCCAGAGTTTTTCCTTCGATGGGTCAGTAGTGGGAGGTACTAGATATTTGCTAGTCGCCATAAATAGGATGACGTTCTTCAGATTCTCCCGTACAGCCTCCTCCTATATTCCAAGGGGGAATGTATTAGCTCAAACGCCTTTAGAACAGATAACAAGTGGGCTTACCAGGCTGTCGCCTTGGCCGCTGTTCATTAAGCGGTCAAGGATATCAACTATTCGTAGCCATAAATCCAGCATTCCATCCCATGCCGAAAGCAGAACAAGGTATTGGAGGAATACTTTGCAGAGCAAGGACGCAACTTGTACCCTCATCTCACCCATACCATCTCGATCCGAGAGGAAGACCTCTGGCTTCAGGAGATTTAAGATTAATGGGAACAGGACCTCCGTAAAAATGGCTGTCCACTCTTTGTGATCGTTGCAAATAAGTTCGGGGGATAATAGAGTCCTCTGCAGGGATGTCAGAGCGACATTTCGGACCTCCCTGCAAGGATTCGTACACTGGATTGTAAGAGCGTTGAATATCGGCAACCAGTAGGCAGCCCAGGCTGTTTGACCATAGATCCGCGTCAGATAAAGGTTGCGAGGTGGCTATAGTGTACGTGACTTACCTTCGCTGCTTTCGAGGTGGGAATGCTTCATCAGGTATGAGATACGACTAGTCATATTATAAATCATGGTGACAGCTTTAGTCCCCCTGGTGATTATAACATCCTTTCCGGCGCTATAGGAAATAGCATGTATTAGCTTGGTTAAGGACTTGGTGGTGGCGTAGAAGTTGATGCCTTACTCCAGTCCCTGCGTTTGTGTGCTGGGGGCTTCCCTTGCCCCTCTGGGGATTGTGGCGGATTTACGCGATGTCACCGTTCGTGACGCTGATGCGAAATCACTTAGAAGAGAAATGGCAGCTTCGTAATTGTCTGCCATGATGGAAGGCGGCGTTCCCGTCGTACCGCGCTCTAGTATCGCAAAAACGATTGCACTCGTGTCTCTTCTTTGTGCAAGAGTCCTCAGCAGCGCCCAGAAGTCTGGGGAGGTCATGATTTCGCTCCGCAGAGGACCCGGCTCTTCAATGCAGAGGCAAATCCCCTGAAGGGTGAGGGATGCAGTGTTCCCCAATAGTGCATCTGGAAATCTTGACAGTGTATGCAGGAGGATGGGGACATTCACAAAATCAAATTCCTAGGTTGCCCCCAGGGTGTTAGTGGTATTGACGCAAGTGGGAAGATTTGGAATTTCACACTGCTTACATAGCTGGCACGAAGAAGCTTTAGTAAGTAGAATACTGTCCGGGCGACAGCAACGGGGTGATGGATCGTCGCATTTCGCAGGACACCAAATAGCGCCTCGGCGAGTTTCTCTCCAAAGGCGCATATAGTTTCACGGTTTCTAAGAGTTAGGATCGTAGAAAACTCCAAAAGGTAGACCAACCCCGGGTCATAGCGCAGCTGCGCGTCGTTTGATTTCAACTCTCCGGGAGGACCCGGTGATGTGCTCGGGGCTTTCACGCTAATGACGGCCGAACCGTGGTCCTCGGGGAGTTCGTCAAGGAGTGCATTGATAAGGTGAGTCAACTCTGTGACAGAAAGCGTGCTGTTTCCATGTGAGCCAAGTTTAGCTATTGCGTGGTAAAACGTGATGGAAGAGCCTTACGAGATCCTGGCGAATATGTCACCCATGCGGCATTGGTTGATACAGTCAACAGTGCAGAGAGTACTCTCCAATTCCTCCTGTGATGGCTCGGGTGGATCATCTGCCGCATAACTGGAGATGTAGGAAGTGAATGCAGAAAAGAAACCCACTTCACTCGGTCGTGAAGCTCGATCGATAACCTGTGATGGAGGTTGGAGAGCGATCGCGGGAATTCCCAACTTGTCTTGGTTGTCGGAGAAGAATGGTGGAATGAGAGAGTTGAGGAAGAGGTTCAGCCATATACGTAAAATCTGGGCCTGTTGATTAGCATTGTTCTCTGGCGCGTTGGGCGAAGACGACCTACGTGTTTCCAACCACTATTGATGATATGCTCGTTTCCCGAGACTACTCGAAACAGGACCAGGGTCGCAAGTTGAGCCCTGAAATCTCGACCAAGTTTCACGGCTAGTTCACTGACCATGACGCTATTGTCACCAGCCTGTACTTCGGTATTCAGCGAAGTGTTAAACGGAATGGTGGTAGCTATAGTGGTCATGTGGCTCAAGCAATGAACGATTTGATCAAGCGCCTCTACTGTGCCGTATCTCGCGGCTATTCGGGCGCATTCGTCAAAACCAGTCACGACACGTGCGAAGACTGTGTCGTCAGTGGCCGACATGAACACGTATGATAATGTTGAAACAATGGGCTTCCAAGTTGAGGCAAACAAGTCGGCGTCGTACATATTGGTGTCGCATTGGATGACACACCCTGCGGTATCCGCCTTCAAGAGCAACTCTCTCCATGCGTAGTCAAAGGCGTGTTGGTTGTCATGTTCGTCCGGAAGGATAATTTCATTCGACTTGATCGAGTTGAAGATATCACTCAGGTACTCGGGTGAGAAATTCTCTCCACCATTTACACCGCGGAGATTCCTCGAGAAGTCTTCAAGCGCCATGCGTTTCGAAGACTTGATTTGCGGATTGTGTTGGTCGGTGTTGAGCATGATGATGGCGTATGTCAATACGTACACTGCGTCTTTATCAGCGACCTCGACCGGAGTGCTATTGGCGCAGTACTTTTCGGAAAAACAAGTTAAAATGCGCTCAATAAGCGCAGATTCTCCAGGGAGACGGAAGGATTCTAGGAGTACTCGGAGCGCCTCATCCACTCTCTTCCCAGTGAAATCAAAGAGGTCTAAGAATGCTTCTAGAATGGGTTCATTGCCTTTCTTCGAGAGAAACTCGCCAAGAATTTTCTTTGAAATCCTTGGGTTACGTTTTAAGAAGCTGGCAACACATGAAGGGTTCCGAATGTCGTCAATGATGCCGTGGGCCTCCAAGTAACCAAGCCCACTCTTTGGGCTCTCATTGAACTTGTTTGCACCTTTGATTATAATCTTTTTTCGGCTGCGTCGGGTCCTTAGAAGGTCTGCGTCTGGAAGATTGACTTCGGTGGGCTGCCATTCAAGTCTCTCAGCGAGGAACTGAACATATCTCAAAAGCGCATCGAGGCAGAGTGGTGGCACGCTCGTAGTGCTCCAGGTCGCAGAGTCCGGTAACGCGTTGCGGGCTAGGAGGCCAACCATATCCTCGCACAGGTCCACCCGGTCTTCGTCGCAATCGTAGTTCACAAAAAGCTCCACCATATAAGAGGGCATGCGCAAAAGAACGCTGATGCATTCAACCATAGCCTGCCTCGCATCTGGCTTGCGAATTCCCCCCTCTAGTCCAAGTTTCTGGCGATCTTTGATTGGTACCGGCGTTGACCGGCCACTACCATTTTGCGACGGGAGAGGTCTGACGAGCTTGGGAGCCTGGGGTATATCGGCGTACAGTGATGGGTCGATACCTGGCTCCCTAGGAATATCGATCGCCGGGTGGAGGCATGCGACAAGGTAAGACAAGAAAAGCTCCTGTTGAAGCTTTAGGACGCTGCGACAGGTAGAGAGTAGGGTGCTTGCGACGACTAGGGCTTCCTGAAGGAGATCCAGATTGTCGGACCTCACTAGCTGGAAGAGATAGGAGCACAGCTTATCTTCCGTTATGATGCCGAGCGCGGGGTATTGAACAAGAGCTGGGCCCGCAACTTCCAATGCAACATGTATGATGCGCAACGCCATGATCCTCATGGTATCTGTTTGCTGTCTGTCGTTGGGTTCCAAAAAACCAACAAGAACTCTAAAGAGTTCCCTAATACTTGGTAATGAGTAGGGCGGCATGTCTAGGGAGTCGGGTCGCTCCAACTCTTCGCTTTGATGGCGTAAGTCGGCGTCTGAGCTTGCTTCGGAGATGTCACTACTCGGGTTGGAGTCCTGGGTAGTATTCTGAGAACTGCTGGCGGACGCCTCGTCAGGTGAATCGTGACGACCTGTGCCTGGTAGTCCCTGAATAGCTGCTTCGGAGGTAGAAATCACTATAGAATCCATTTCACCACTAGGCTCGCGAAAAGTCCCAGCCGCCTCGTTTGCCTCGACATCCAGATGCTTAACAGCTTCGAAGATGATTTGACACATACGAACCATCGAAGCTTCCGCGGTTTGGCGGAGAACTGGGGAGAATCTAGTCTGTGAGCAGATAGCAAGTCCCCGACCCATCATGTCGCAGATGCTCTCATCGCTCAGAATATCGCCTCCTGGACCCGATAGCATGTCCTCCATTAGGTTCAGAATCATCAGAAGCACAACTTCCATTTGACCCGAGTCGCTGAACTGACAATGGGTAAGGGCGCTGGATAAGGACTGCATCGCCAGTGCAAACCTGGGCGATTCGGGACAGATAAACCCATATGCCAGGAACTTCCTTAAGGCACCCAACGCTAAAATCGTGATTGGGGCGGCCGTGCCTTTGGTTTGAAGGATCTGCAGGAATGGCTGCAAAAGTGACGGCGCGTCAAAGGTACGTATGTCTATATATGCCGTCAGCCCCAACCTATCCCAAGGAGATGTTTGAGAATTCACCTCTAACGCTGGAGAGCTCATAGCGTAATTTTCCGAAGCTCGAAATTAGAGGATTGTCCCGAACATTATGTCCTTTCCTTCCCCTTAATCCCCACCGGTTCGCGAGGCCAAGTTCCTGTACATCTTGGATTGTACTTCCGTCCAGATGCTGGTTCCCATAATCCGAGGGGGGGTGAGGCTGCCCCAGCTGAACCGTGTTTGGGTTGCCACCTAAGATGGCGGATACGGACGAATGTGCTGACGGGACTCGCTTCCGGATTTCAGACGTGATCGAGATGCATTCAGATATTACTAGGGACGTCGGGTCAACAGCAACAGAGACCGGGCGACTGCGGTATTGCGCGCGGGAAGAGGTCGGGGTTTCCTGGAGCCTTAGCTGGCGCTCCTTCAAATCCATTTTCGGTAGCAGTGGATGCGCATCTCGGCTTTCTCGCGTCATCAAGAAGAAAGAAAGAGAAGAACAGAAGAGGAGAGGAAAAGAGGGGGGGAAACAGGTATAGAGTCGGCGACCTCAACTGAATACTGATCAAACATGACGGGTCAGCATCATTGCCTCGATTCTGTTCTCGGGATACGCTAGCGGATAAGAGTGCGGGCATAATATGTAAAACCTACCTAGATGGTTGGGCTCTACTTGACAGATCTTTTTCATAGATCGAGGAAGAAAATCGAGCAGTCGACACGTCTCCTAGTAGATTAATTCGTACCGCGCTGAATGCGGGCATGGGCGAGGTCGCAGCAAGGTGTTCTGGATTACTACGAAGTTCAGAGTTGAGGTTTGGTTTTGGCTAGAGCTCGGGCTTCTTGACCCGGGTCCTCTACAGCTTCTAGCACGTTACATTACAGAGCCAGGCAGAAAAAGAACCCCCCCAAAAAGGCCCTAACAATTGAAGCATTGGCTCGCAGGCACAAGTCACAGGCTGGCTGACTGCTGGCAGTCTCCATCAAATCAATTTGAAGCACAGTGCCGAGATCCAGGATTAGTTAACCAGAGCATTAACCCAAGTTCGTGTTCAAATTCTTGGGGACACGTTGAGGCCTTTGAGCAAGTGCTCAAGTCAGCATCAACAGGCATTGATTTAGAGGGGAAAAAAAAAAAAAAAAAAAAAAAGAGAGAGAAAAAAAAAGAAAGAAAAAAAGAAAGAAAAAAAGAAAGAGAAAGAGAAAGAGAAAGAGAAAGTACCATCAAATCTATAGATGCCGTTATAAATATTATAATACAACCAGACATATAGCGAGGAAATACATTGCACATTTATTTTTGACAGGCCAAACGAGCATGGGAGCTTAACCGGTTAAACCCAAGCCAAAATGGAAACAATAGGAGAGTGTAACCTGTCTGGAGACGCCTGGTCCATTTACCGATCCACAGTCGCCTCACCCCTGTGATGAGGCTGGTCCTTCTTTTGCTTCGCCAAGTTCTCCATCTCGCTCTTGTCCTTCTCCCATTGGTTGTTGGTATCGCCGAATTCTTCCTTTAACTTTTTGGCTCTCTCAGCCTTCTCTTGCTCCTCCTTCTCTCTTGCGAGTCTCTCCTTTTCCATCTCCTGTCTGAAGTTAGCTTCAGGAAGCACGGGTGTTCCGTCTCTTCGGCACATACCTCCATATGTCGAATATCATCCACACTAGGCTCGTATAGATGCCAAATGGTATAATGCGGAAGTCCAACCACAGAGTACCCCATACGTTTGGCCATCTAACATGTTCAGGACGTTAGCTTAGGCTTCGAAGTGCCGAGAACAAGATTCCGTTCCTACCTTCCCGAAACCCTCCGTCTCGGCATGCTTCTCAAAGCTGAATGCAGGAAAATGGACTCCGGATCGAAAGACGCGTGCTTTCGCGAGTATGCTCACACCACCAACACCATCAATCTCCATCTCCATATCAGGATCACCATAGGGATCTCGAAGATACGCAAGATGGGGACGCCAAGTGGCATACTCTGCATATCCCTCAACTATGACCGCGTCTTCATCAAGGGTGTCCGCCAGGGCTAAAGCAGTTTCTGATTCCTGCCACGAATTCAGGTCGTACGGCTGTTCTCCTCCGAGCCAGTCCGGCAGCGGTCGCCAAACATCTAACTACACGTGAGTAGGATGCCGAGTGTGTAAATATCGACGTCTGTAAAGACTTACTGGGTACGATGACGTCTTTGTTATGTCTCATGAGATCTTCGAGTATTGTAAAGGGGGCAGTCTGCACATCGACATCCCTCCAATAAACCCAAGAGTGATAGGGTCGTAGCGTAGCGCTTAGTAGCCAGTTCCGGGCTTGGGCCATCAATTTTCGTCGGCTCGCCTGGGCTGCAAAGCCGTGGCGGCTTTCGACATCCTGGTTTACCTTCTGGCCAAAGTCCTTCTCGATGATAGAGACCTCGCCATAGTGCTGTGTTATATCCTCATCTGATTGGATATCGTTCATAGAGTCGATGACGACCTGTAAAGTCCGGTCCTTTGAATCAGAGACTAGAAAGGCCAAGTCGACGAGGTGGTGCGGATAGGTGAAATTGCGTAGGTGAGAAAAGAACATCGGTAGGTGCACTTCCGCATCGCGAAGTGGGACGCAGAAGAGAATACGCTCTTCGCGTTCCCACCCACGAGCTGTTCCTTGAACGTTGCTCAGATCATAGTATCGAACAGTCTCTAATTGACTGTCGCCTCCAACTGTTAGGAGTCCCAAGGAAATAACAGACACAACAGGCCCTCGGGGCCAAACAAAATAGCCGAAGACAATAATCGCGACCAAAGCGTAGATGGCTCTAGTCAGAAGAGCTCGTCGGCGACGGAAGGCTGGTGTAGAAGACCGCGGTTCGAACCTGATGAATGGCATCTTTCAGTGTGGGTTCCAAAATCCTATGCGAAGAGATCGGCCATACCTATGGGGTGAGATATCGAATGTGCCGCCACGAGGATAGCCATTGGCAAACGAACCAGGATGATGCCGGGGCATCTTTATCGAATCTTCTGACGATACATATGAGGGTAACATTCGAAGACGTCTTTGCGGAGAGACGCGATGAACCGAAAGGGGATGAAGCTCAGTCGGATACTTGATGCTAAGGATTTGAAGGGAGATCTAGAAACGTGTATTACGTATTGCCCCGTAATTGTGGATTAGATACCAGGATTCGCCCAGTGTTTCGAGCTCATCTCTCATAATAATATTACTACGATCCATAATTACTTTTAATCCAATAAATTAACAATAGTATTGACATATCAAAGATAATATTAAAAAAGTTATGTCTGATTGAATATTTATTTACACAGTTAATATATTCTCCTTTTAAATTTATCTAAATAAAATAAATTAGTCTCGAGGAAAAAAAAAAAAAAAAAAAAAAAGAAATCGTTCTCCGATATAAGTAGAAAAAAGCTTTTAGGTCAGGTATTTTGGTATAAAAGATTCTCTTCAGAGAGATCAGAAGCAGAACTGGAAAGTGTACTCATCATAGGATGATGAAGCTTAGAAAAAAAACCAAGTGAAATGTGGGACCTGACTCACTGTGAAACCTGTTCGATGAAGGATGATACGAGTACAATTCGGAATCTTGTACTGGAGCAAGTTAGCGTCTGACTGACAGTCGAGAGAGGAAGAAAAGTATCAGCAACATTGGCGAGGCCAAAACGGAATCAGATGGTAGTGCATGTGTTCAAAAAGCTCAGGTGGTCGCTTGAACTGTGGTTTGCATTTCATCATAGTCAAGATACATATCAATGCGAGGTTAGTACTTACAGAGACCGAGGTTGCGAGACAGCATTAAACTTGTTTCGAAACGGAGAAGACATGAAGAGAGGAGAAAACTTGTAGCCAAAAATCGAGAAAGAGAAAGCTTTAAAGCAGTGGGCAGAATTTTTTTTCTCTTTCTGTGTTAGTTCAGCCGAAGTATAAGAATAGATACCCCTCGGTATCTCATAATGAAATATTCTAATAGTCAAACAGGCCCGGCGGGGCTTACTCATGAATACTCTTCCCCATAAACCCAGAGCAAACATCTCCTCGCGTCTTTGTGCTCGGACAAAACTTTAGAGAGGACAGCTCAACAAAGCTCGCAATCATTCGCACGCAACCCTAACTGGCTCGATAGCCATGGCCGACAGGCGGCGGATCAATGGGCCCTCTGGGATTACCTGCCCCCCGTTCTATGATGATGATTTGCCAACCCAACCAAGATCCGAGGATGAATTTCGAAACATCTGTAAGAGCCAAAGCTCCTTTTTCAACATTAATCTTCCGTCTTGGCAAGGCCAAATGCTTAAATTCGACCGTCCATATCTAGTCTTGAAAACCGGGGTGACTCCGTCGGCGTCAGGTTCTGCATATTTGGAGATTGGTCTCCCACACACCAATTCCACGGTTGCGGGAGAGGCAAACGGCCTAAAGCTTATCTGTATGGTGCATGGCCCACGCGCGCTACCAAGATCAGGCCCCTTCTCTCCGCACCTTGTACTTACGACACATGTCAAATTCGCGCCTTTTGCGACTTGGCACCGACGAGGGTACCTCCGCGATTCTAGCGAACGAGACCTTGGTGGCCACCTTGAAACGGCTCTCCGGGCAGCTCTCATCGCAGATCGGTGGCCCAAGAGTGCCGTGGATGTTGTTGTTACAATCGTGGAGGGTGAACAAGACAGAGCAGCGGCGCACAGCGGGGGGCATGAGATGTGGGATCTTGTGAATACTTTGAGCGCCTGTATCACGGTCGCATCCGCGTCACTTGTGGATGCTGGTATTGACTGTATTGACTCCGTGTCCGCAGGGGCTGCCGCACTCACGGCGTCTCCAGTGTCTGGTAATCCTGAAGTGGTTCTAGAGCCATCTGACCTATCTCAAGTTCTCGCAGCTTGTTGCGTGGCATATCTCCCTTCTAGAGAAGAGGTTGCCGCATTGTGGGTAAAAGGCCACATTCCCCCTTCAGATTCTGTCAATAGTACCCGGCTCATAGCTGCGGCGATCCGGTCCGCCAAAGCAACCGGGCTCACGCTGTCGGAGAGCTTAAGAGAGCTGGCTTCTACTAATAACGAGACCTGAAGCCTCTCTGAAGCCATCAATGTCCTGGAGACCCTTGGGATAGGACTGCGCCCTTTTGCCTTTGTGACGTCATCGGTCGCAACTCGAAGTGTAGTCTTGCCTGGCTGTATCTTACGCTCCTTGGGCACTTTCTCTTTAGTTCGCCAATAGCTGCAATTCGTCAGGTGTATTAATAATGCCTCATGCATGTCGTGGTAGCGCTTGACACCATCCCATCCTCATCCACTCCACCACAGTACAGTGCTACCGATGGTATCGTCACAGTGCTGACTCCGCTCATCTGTCGTCGTTATTATTGAAGGGGACCCTCCCTCTCGTTCTCTCATATCCGTTTGTTCAAATCCCAATTTAGTGACGAACTCCCAGAGATGGCCCAATATTCCTTCCCCGATGTGCCCGCTGGTGCTTAGTCTTCAAATGGTATCGACTGATGCTGGAACCATCTCCCCACTATTAATCAGTCAGCGAGTCCTGAGCGTGCCACCAGCGACCTGACCGTTGCCTCTGTTCCCGTCGCGACGCCAACAAAATGGATGATCATCTTCCTGATCTTCCCTCCGGAGACACATCGCGTGGGATTTGGTATAATTTTACAACCTGGACAGCACAACAGCTCAAATATACCGTCAATGTGACTAAATACGCGCCATCGTTGGAAGATCTTGTCTGGGCAGGCCCGCGCATTGTGAGACGGCTCGGATCGATCATCTTCCTTCCCGACGCTATTGAAGGACCACATGTCTCCGGCCCGGCCCTCTCAGATTCTCTTCAGAATGCGTACATGATGGCATCGGATTCCGCTCCGAATACAGTCGGCATCAACAGACATGCTTCGGGATCGAGCGCCAATCCGTTACCCGGACCACTCCACAGCCCTGTCGATGGAACAAGGGGGTTTGGCAGCGTATTCAGCTATGCGACCAGTAAATGGGCCCTCTGCTGCATTGCGATGGCTATTATCTTGAACCGGGCTTACATCTTCGCGGCTACCCGACGGAGGCTAGTACTACCCTGGCATATACGTGTTCTTATACGTGGCGCTCCGATCGTTCTCCTCGGCCTGCAGGCGAGACATTTGCTTCAGTCTATCCAATGTCAAACTTCTCCCGAATTTCCCTCTATGCGCTGGGGGGACACAAGTAAGCACTCAGAGCTTATGTTCCCCCAGACCAATACGTTTCTTCATGGCCTCAGTTCCACTCTACTCCTTAACCCGACGGATCGCGAATCTTGCGTCTCAATCCATATGATCCCACAAAATACCGACCCCAGCCGTGACGTTCGGGAGCTCAAGGGATCTCTTTCCCTCCTCTGGCCCTTGTTTGGTACATTTTGCCTAAGCCAGCTCCTAGAAACTATCGTGTGCGCCGTTGAGGGACGGACGCTCTCCGCAGAAACGGGCATGACTCTGTTCGAGCACTCCCTTGCCTTTGCGGAAGCTGATGCAGCAATCAGCAACCAACTCGGCTGGGGTGTATTCAACTCCCACAGTAGTGTGGGCACCTCGGCAACTTCCCTCAACTATACCATGGCCGTTAGTCGTTCTATGATTCTTCAGAGAGTTAACACTTCCCCCGAGGTACTTCTTGTGGCATTCTTGTCCTCAATGGCCCATATAACGAGCCATCTATTGGGCACGTTCAATCTTCAGGCCAAGTTTCGTCTCTTGAGCACTACACTTTGGGGTCTTTCCTTCATGGGTAGTATTATGTGGAGCGTTGCCACATTCTCCATAGACTCTCTCGACAGACAGAGTTTGCTGCGGTTTCCGACCGTGTGTATCATCGGCTTCATCCCCCACGTTCTTGTCTTATCAGGCATTGTTGTCTGTTTGTCCATCTACGGGTTTGCGCTTTTGCTATCCGCAATAGCCCCTCCCCAGGGAATTGATTTCAGGAATCTAAATTTCCGTCAGCGACTTGCCCAGGCACAAGGAAATCTTCAAGCCAATATATCCCTCTCCGATCTCCGGATTAGCCGCGAAATGGACTTTTACACCGCATTACTCAGGACTGGATTTGGAGCGATCACGCTTGCAAGCGAGGCCGTTTACTTAAATGAAGACTCAGCCGTCAACACTCCACGCCATACCTGGCTTGAGGAACAACGGTCTCGGGAATTGGAGGAATTCCACGCTAGACTGTCGGGGACTGCAGACGTGACCTTCAGCAGTCGTAAATCGCCAGCGGAATCCGGTGCCGCACAGCGTTTAGCTCGTGTGGGGGCATTTAACGGGTATTCCCGTGAGAAAACTACGCAAGCAAACAACAAAGAAAGGGCCAGTCTGGATAGACAGTCAGGAAATGGCGTGGGCGCCGCTGCAAGGAGCGGTAGGTGGTTGGTAGCATTGGATTACATGCTCAACATTTACCGCGTTGTGATGAAAACGTGGGCACTCATGTTTCTCAAGATCCTTGAGAAGCTAGGGATAAGATCGCAACCACCATGGCTACTCTGGCTGTTCCGAGGGGGCAAATCATCGACTGGGAGACAACTCGCACGGCCCGAATTAAACCCTCCACCGTCGGTAAACGCTCCGCAAACTCTTGACGGCATCTGGATCCCTCGAGGTGACCATGTCGATGTAGAGGCAGAAGTGAGAAAACGCGTGCAAGCCACGGCCCGGGGTGATAGAAGCTTTAGTGAGGAGGAGCTTGACGCCCGCCTCTATTCCTGGTGGCTGCACGGTGGCACCTGGGGTTCGGTGGACCGCAGTGGGGATTACGCTGCCAGCGAAAGTGAGAGTATCACGGACAACACAAGCGTGATTTCTAGAAGTCGATCTGATCAGGATGATGAAGAATGGGGTGAAGAGTACGACCAAAATACCCTACTCCAGTTAGGATCTCCCTCAGATCGAGAGACAAGCCCCGCTGTTGACAGCCCAATTCAGCTATCGGATCTCGCACGTCTTCTACACCCGAAGACACTCGAGGACCAGGAAGAAGCAGATGCGTTATCCGCTCACCTCGCCAGCGATGAAATACTGACAAGATCGCGGTATGAAAGGATTCGCCGCCTTCAGTCATCGCACATACTCGCCGGAGCGCTGCCAAGAGTCACAACCATCTTTTCTCCGTCTCATCTCGCAAAGCTTACTGTTGATCAGGAGTCTAGGCTCCTGGAACGGATTTTGCTCTCGAGACGACAACAAACGCGACAATCGGAATCGTTACCAGATCGCCAGTCTCAATCGTGGGCGACTGGTGCTTCCGGGATGGGCGCAGAGGGTCCTCAGTGCGTCGTCTGTCAGAGCACCCCAAGAACTATCATTATTTGGCCTTGTCGCTGCCTCAGTTTATGCGACGACTGTCGAGTCGCTCTGGCAATGAATAACTTTGATAAATGCGTATGCTGCCGGGGAGAGGTGAGCAGCTTCAGTCGCATCTTCGTACCATAACCGTTACGTTTGTGTACGATAGTCACAAGGTGCCCATTTATAGAAGTTTTCAAGCTCTTACAAAGTTACCATCATTGTTATTATTGTTGACGTTTAGAAAGGTAAACTTTACATGCCTGCCCATTCGATACAGAAAATGCGACCAGTATCAAGCTGTGATCCGGGACGGGTATCCCCTCCCCCAATGAGGAAACCTTTCTTGACGGTGGTACTCAATCTCCCACCGCTAACCACGTCTAACAAGGGAATCTTATCTTCCCAGTCATACTGATTAGCGAGATAGTGAGCGTGAAATCGAAGCGGATCGCCGGGGTAAACACTCAGTTGCGCACCAAAGCGTAGGCCTGGCGTCATGTAGTACCCGTCAGCCCGTAGCTGTCGCATGAGCGGCGCGGATGTAAACAACCCCGAGTTCGGCAGGGGCAGGGAGGCCCGGCTTTCAAAGCAAGTGAAAGTAGTAGCACACGAAGCCCGCCTTGTTGTTTGTCTGCTCCCCGGAACCAAAGGTTGGTCTACAATCTGCGGGGTCGGTGCAGTTCGATCGGGGGCGGACGTCCGAGTTGAGTCTGGCTCGGCGATGGGCCCATTGAGCACATTCGACAGGTGCTGCTTCTTGGCCAATTCTAGTCCCATCCTTGCCTCCACGCCTTTACGGCTACATTGAAGCGTCGTAATATACTCACGCCTCCCGCCAATGTCAGAGCCATCAAAGATTCCGAGTTGAAATGGAGCCTCAGCTCTAAGCCTCGCTACGCCATTTTCAACAAGGACCAGTGCATCTTCTGCAGAAAGTTCTAGGGGAACGCCGAGGAACACATTCTGTGTCGGACTTTGAGGTACTGTTCCCACGAGAATACCACAAGTGGCATGATGGCGGCGCAGAAAGGCTATGTGTCGACGATCGAAGACAAGATGTCGCCCAGCGATTTGGGAGATCAGAACGCCGTCAGCCTCGCATTCGACTGCCTCTCTCATTTGGCAACATTACCTAGAGAGAATAGATTTCCCAGTTAGCCTTTGAGGAATGTTACGCGTCGTTTTCCGCCAGGATCGGGTAATGATAGGTTGTTCATGCAGACTTAGGTTATCAACACACACAAACAAGTATTCTGTGGATTGACAGATTATGGTATAAATATAATCATAATGTGTTGCAGGGATAGGAATCACAATTAGATAAATACTGACCTTTGCCGGTTAGCAGCAACTTAGAATCACAATGTTGAAACCAGCGTGCTTGATCGATTTTCTGGCAACATCCTTCCAGTTGCCTTTTTTTGCAAAGGAAAAAAAAAAATTGAAAAAAGTGCTCTCGTTTCAAAAATTTTGTGTCTTAACTCGTTCGCTTGGAGCTGACAAAGGTAAGGCTTAGTCATTAAAACTGGAGCCGATCTTTGGCAATTTGAACTGGGGTCAAAGTGCTACTCTCGCTTGAAGGGTTGTCGCCCAGACAGGGTGGAAGACTCAGCGCTTCGATAACGAGCCCGCTGGATCTGCTCAATTTGAACGATAGGGTCGAGAATGAGCTCACGACTTGAGAATTCCTTCCACGTTCGTTATGGACAGGCAAGGTATGAGTACTGAGTATCCCTGCGCTCTCCTGAGATGTGGTCGTCATCAGCGAGAGCTCCAAGACGCAGTCCGATAATAGTTCCATCCAACGCGTGAAACCCAAGGAGCGAGGGTACAACGAGGTGGGGAAAACAATAATCGCAGAGAGCTGCGCGCCGTATCGCCTCAACAGTGCTCTGAGTCCATGCATAAATTGCAGGATATCGTCGACCTGATAAACGTGCATGCCATAAAGTGTTGGTGACAGAAAGCCAGGCAGTATTACGCGGTGAACAGCATCTGATGATGAAGTCTCCATTTTTCTGGCAAGTTCATAAATGAAATCCATGAAGGGCGGGCGGCGGCCAGAGGGGTCAGGAATATTATTCTGACCAGTCCCAACGACCCGGTTCAGAGGATAAAAGGACAATGTTCCTCGCATATCGCTAGTCTTGAGGCGTTTTCCAAGGTCAAACGTGTGACAGAAGGTCCCCGCCGGACGATAATCTGCATCACCAATTCCGGGTAAGCACATAGAAGTATCTAGTCGAACGGTAGAACATCAATTGATGTCGTGAATTAGGTTATCCCATGTGACAACAGCTTCTAGCCTAGAACCGAAGGCTGTGGATTGTCAAGGGTTTGGGTAGTTTGCAGGACCGACGGGCTCACGAACCTGCTTCGGGAGAGTAGCTGTTCCCAAGCGCTTCATATCTCCACGCGATTTTCATTGGAACTTTATCTTTACCTAGGTCGACTTTGGAACTCTCACCGGCCCCGTCGAGCCCAGGGAGCTCGCTCACCCACCCATCACTCGGGCCAAAAACATGGACATCGTGGCCCTGGACAAGACCTTCGGCAGCATAATACCGGGATAGAACACCACCAAAATCAGTTGTGCCCGCTTCTTCCACGAGCATGGACGTTCCAAGAGGCAGGCCAGAGTGTCCAAGGATGGTGTCCAGGGAGGCAGTCCCTGTTGATATTGTTGGTCGCCCGTCCAATGGAGATGGTCGAACCCCAGAAGGAAGGGCTTGTTTTCGCCTCCCAACCGGGATTGACTGGGATTGCGAGCGAGTAAGAGTCCCCACAACAGCGTTCTTTCGATGGAAAGGCATTGGCAGGAAAAGTGCGGTGCGACAGCCTGGGCGGTTTGGAGGGAGTAAAACTCAAAGATCGGCTTGAGCTCTCCGTGGGATAGATCCCTGTTTCAAGGCTTCACGGGTGCTCTCTAATATCTTTCCCCTCTTTTTCTATCCTGTCTCGTCGCCCTTTTTCAACATTTTCCGTCCTTGTGCGGGTAAGAAAATCTTAAAACAATTCAACCAAACGAATAACAATCTGAAGACAACCCCAAAAACATAATTAACTGGGTAGTGGGGCAGCAACGGCGAACAAAATTGCCATGATTTACCCGACGCCAACGCCTTTTTTTCAGGCCGTTCGTTCAAGGGAAGGCCGATGAGACAACGACGGCTTCTTCCAGCAATAAACATTTCCTCTGAGCGTTTCCCACTTAATCACCGGATCCCCTGTCCATTACCGAACGATATCCCCATGATGACGACAACAGGCGGGGACGCAACTCTCTTTGAAGAGTCATTCACCATCACCAACATCGATCAGTCGAAGTATGACCGTGTTGCACGGATCTATGCGACCTCCACGGATAATCAGACTGTCATCTCTCTCGACGTCAATGTAGAGCTATTTCCTTGTCAAGTTAGCGAAGGAATCAACGTGGTACTCGCCACTTCCCTCGCCTTGGATGGCTCCAAGGACGATGAGAAGGGTTGGAGAGATAACAAGAAGGGTGTTCACCCCGAAACAAGCCTCGCCGAGATGTTTGACTACGTGTGCCATGGCAAAATCTACAAATTTGAGGACGGCGAAGATGGGCAGACAATGTAAGTAGACGTCAACCTCGTCGAGCGCAGGACTTTCGAGGCTAACCTTTTTTTTTTTTTTTGCAGAAAGGCTTACGTCTCGTTCGGAGGCCTTCTCATGTCTTTGGAGGGCCCTTACAAAAAACTAAGTCCCCTCAGAGTTGAGTATGCGTACCTCCTAGTGAAAAAATAAATCACGGCCAATCGTTTTCAACTCCCCAGCTTGCAACTCTCAACAGAGTAAGCTACAGCACACTTCAAAGATGCATCTTGATGAAGCCCGCGCAGCAATCAATCTATATTGAAGCAATGCGAAATTACCAAGGGTTCTCTGCGTCACCCTTTCCCATCCCACTCATGGAAATATGGAGCACTCGCTGCGTTGCGATGTGACTTTTTCTTTCTCGTGCGGGCCAGGGAAGGGCAGCTCACGGTGGATGTGCTGGCAAATCTCCTCCAGGTTTGGCTCCTCAGCCGTGGTTAAAATTCCGTGCCTGATAAAAAAATCGACCATAACTAAGGCACAATTGGGTTTAAACCTCCCCTTGGAAAGCTGTTCCTGTATCTCCTCCACCGTGCAGAGATCAAACGACTCGACCTCACCATCGTTAGGCCTTGGGATTATCTCTGCAGGCATTTCAAGATCGTAAATCCATTGGCATTCGGGATAGATGAGGCCAGATTCCCCGCCAGCACGCCGGTCTGTGATATAGACGTATGTAATCGTGCCGACAGCTTTGGCCGAGCTGCGGACAAAGCTCTGCGGCAGACTCGCCTCCTCATCCGCCTCTCGAATGACGCACTCGAGGGGGTCCTCTCCTGTCACCAAGCCGCCCGCAACTGTACTATCAAGCATTCCCGGGAAGGTCGACTTCGAAGCAGATCTCGTCGGAACCCAAATTTTGAGTCCGTACTTGGCGTTAGGGCAGCGCACGTATCCCGTGAGGTGAACACCGTATCTGTTAACACCGAAGAGACCAGCCGCAGACCTCTCGATGGTGCAGACGAGGTCATCCGCATTCTTATAGACAGGCCAAGGCTCCCGTGTCGAGGTCTCAAGAATTGAAAATACCCGCTGTTTTCTCCAGCACTGGACAATTTCAGCGATACACTCGCCCACATCCGCTGCCGATCCGTCGCTCACCACGGTCATCGTCCGGCTATGATGGTCAATCTGTATCCGACCCGCAAATGACGCTGATGTCTCCATAAGCCTCCTTAAAACCACGGGCAACAAATACCCAATGGGAACCGCCTGGCTCCCGTCTCTCACAACCCACTTATAGAGGGTGTTTGGCATTTCCTGATGGGCATTTCCCCCATGCCCTTCCCAGGGAAAGCTTGAGAGCCATCGAATAAGTTTAAATCGCTGCTGTGCACGGGGCAAAGACGACTCACCAATCAACTTCTCTAGCAAGATCCAAGTTCGATTTCGACTGGCTCATTTCGACTCTTAAACAAAAGAAGACATGGACGGAGGAAGAATATAGCGAAGAAGAATCTTGATGGAAGGAATTAATGGTGGCATTACACAAAGGTAGTTGGTGACGAATTAGCGCAGCCCCACCACAACCCAAGCGACAACAATTGAAAGGCAAGAGCCCGTTGCAATACCCTCCCACAAAGGTCCAAGTCCCGAGCCATTGATCAATCAGCTATCAATGATGAGCTGCTGACGTTATGATGGCACATGCCACATTCAGGTGCAAACTCATTTGATGCTTCGCAACTTCAAATTCGACGGGGTATCGCGAAGGGAGGGGGAAAAAAAAAGAAAAGAAAAATACTCAGCTCAACACGTTGAATTCGCCGAGCGCCTCAATTAACAAAGAACCGCAGAGCGCTTGCAGAACGCCTGCCAATCTACGATGTCAGCGTTACCTTTTGGTGTCATCCCAGCTGGAAATCCAGTCATCACGGAACCGACCACTGTTCTCTCCGACACATCCTTCCTATATACAGTTCCCCCGAATAGGCCATACTCTCACATTGTAGTGTTTCTCTTGCCCGGTGTGGTATTACCACCCGACACTGCAGCCGCCATATACATGGCCACAACAGAAGAGGTAGCAACCGCATCATCTTCCGGCCGCACGCCCGACTTCAAATTTCTCGGGGCGGTGGGCCAGGGAAAGGAAAGCGCCGTGTTCAAGATCACGGCCCCTTCGGAACCAAAGCCATTGGATGCGCAAACCCAGCTGGTGCTTGGTATATCTATCGAGTCCTCGGCCTCCATATCCAATCGCTTAGCCAGTGTACCAAATACCAAGACGTCTGGCCATTCAGTTGCACCCACCACCAACACGGTTTTGCTGGCCCAGAAGATCATACGAAGTGCATTTAATTTTCTGTCGGGTTTTAGTGGCTCCGCCGGTCCCGGTCAGCCCGAGGTTGTTCCTCTGAAAGCGTTCGAGGAATGGTGGCACAAATATGAGAGCCGACTTAGATCGGACCCCAGCTTTCTCGATAGACAGGAAGAGTGATTAATACCTGCGCGTGTGCCATCCATGTTATTTTGGCCGCTTGAAGGAGCCCAAAGAATAAGTCAAGCCTAAAATTGGCCAAAGCAGGTCCTTCCTTTAGGCAAAGGTGGACATGATTCGAGCCTCGCCATCAGCGGGATCGATGTTATACAAAGTAGAATCTAATATACAAAATTACAATCTAACATGCATTGGCAGGCCTTTAAAAACATGTTCCGTGTAACTGAACCAATTCCTTCTCCTCCTCCTCCTCCTCCCGCTGCAAAAAGAGAAGTCATTGGTTATCTTTAGTCAGAGCTCGAGAGTGTACGATATCGAGTGTCGATGTAGGTGCGAGGGCAAGATAAAGGAGCCGCACGATCTCATCTAGCCGTTTTGCATGGAAATTATGGCTGGCGTTTTGCCCTGGCTGGGCTCCCAGCCCTGCTCCTTCGTCCAATATTCAGTATTTGTGCTTGAACGGCCAGCCTCTCCCGGCCCTCGGTCCTTGCAGCTAGTCCATTACGGCCAAGAAACAGGCCTGTATGCGCTTCCTCAAACCGTTCCGCTGTCGTTTTTGGCGTAAGAAGACCAGAAGACATAGCCGTAAGAGGCCCGCCGAAGGCCTCGGAGTCATCGGTATCTATCTCGGATAAGCTATGTTCTCCAGCACCACCTTCTTCTAGAATCCTCTCATAAACGTTCCGGTTATCCCCAAACAGCTTTCTTGCGAAAGGGAATATCCTGCCGGTTAACCTCGGGCAGCAACGTCGGCGATAATGGCGTGGTGCCGAAACGAGCCGCGCATAGATCTTCGTCCTTCTTTCTCGGCGACAAAGTAGTACCAGGGCAAGGACAAGCCCAATGAGGCAAAGAATTGGGAGAGTTGTCCTCGGGCGCATCTGACCTCCTGTCATGTAGGTCTTCGAATCCGAGTCCAGGCCGTCCGGAAAAGTTCCAGGCAAATACTCAAAATCAAGCGGAACACCGGGGAGATTCCTTCCTAATCCAACGGGGAGGTTGTCACCGACAGGCCTTATCTGGCCGCAGGCATACAAAAGCATCTGTCCGAGAGTCCAGCTAAGCTCCGTTCCGTCAATTTTATTGAGCGGCCTGAAAGAATCCGGAAAGCCTGCTTCCGTACCCTTGCGGCCTGTTTGTTGGGAAATATTGAACCCAGCCACTGATGGAGGATCCAATCTCAATCGAGGAATACCAACTCCCTCATGAAGGATGTTGATGAGCCACGACGCCTTGAAGCAAGCATCTTGCGCATTCCGTAATTTTTCAGACGGATCCTTCTTCCGGGGTAGGATATCATTCGCAATGTCATTCCAATCCCTGTTGCAGAATTCCATTACCGTCTCCTGGTAGGTCATTAGATCATAAGACTTGGCTCCAGCCGTCTTCAAGAAATTATGAGTCATGTGCCAGTATTCAGATATGCCAACGAAGCGACTAACTCGGAAATCGATAGCCGGCGCATGCTTTCCGTTGAAGAGACAGGGAGTCTCCTCGCAAACAGTGTCCTTTCCAAGAAGTGGAAGTGTTAGGCGTAGACACTCCAGGAAATCGCCCGTGCCAACAAGGATATCTCTATCGGCAACCGTCTCCTCCAGGTCTGACGAGCCACCTTCGATCGTAATTCGTAGGCCATGGGGCATGCAGGGGTCGGGGAACTCGTGGCTATCGTCCGCGATATACTTTTCTCTAAGGCTATCGACAAATCTTTGTCGCGCAACGTTCGCCCCAAATCCCAGGAATGAAGCAGAGAAGACTCTATATTCTCTCATACTCCCATCTAGGTTTCGCAAGCGAACTAATTTCAGGTCATCGGCATGTTTTTCTGTCTCTGTAGTATTAGGAGCGTAGACGATTTGAGCAGACGCTCCTCCCATATCCAAGAAGCCATATGTATCACGGCTATCGTTCAGCAGTCCATTGACATTATTAGCCAAACCTCCAAGTAAATAGTTGGCTGCAAGCCAACCATAGACTCCTTCTGTCTCGCCCGTGATAATCCGCACATGCGTTTCACAATCACTGACAAGAAACTGGCTGGAATTCCGGATATAGTTGCAAACCTCACGCAATAAACTGGTTTGCTGTGCCTGTGCAACCATGCGCATACCTGCAGTTGCCATAAAAAAGATGGGGGTTCCGGATCGTTCACTGAACGGGATGGCATTGGTTGCAGCATCAAGGAGGGGTTGAAGATGGCCTGGGCCAACCTCGGCAATCTTGTCGACAAAAGTTGAGAGGCCCGGGTGAATCTTATACACCTTGGTGGGTGTCAGGCGAGGGAGCGCTTTGGATTTGGGGATCGATGCAATCTCTCCCTGAGCATCCCATCGGTAAACATGAACGCGGGTCCCAGAGGAACCTGCGTCGATCGCGACACCCCATCGCCCTACAAATTACGGCCGAATTAGTATACATGAGCGCGGTTCTCAAACACAAGGTGGCTCACGTTTGCGCTGCATTGGGGGCTTCCCTGAAGAGTAGAGAGATGGATTCCCACGACAGCTACGAAAAGCTTCGGAAGAGAGCTTTTAATAAAGTCATTCCTTTATCAATTAAAGTGGCCGCGCCACACACTAGTAACTAGATCATATAACTATATAAGGAAATTATTTAATAAATTTATAAAAACCTAATATATAAATAATTAAAAGTTTAATTTATTATATTATAATAAAAATATAATATTATTTAAATTATAAATTTTACTATAATAAAAAGACTATATAAAAACTTAATAAAATAAATTAAATTTTTATAAAAATATTTAAAAAAAATTTATAATAATAAAATTAATATAATTTTTTTTATAAAGAAGTTATATTTAATAAAAGTAAGAGGTTAGCTTAATAATAGCTAAAATATTTTTTTTTTCTTTAAAAAATAGTAGCTATTTATTATAGTTTTTAATATACTACTTTATTATTAAATATAAGTAATAGCTTACAACTATAAAAGTAAGTAAGTATAGCTCACTTACTTTAAAGATAATATCTATTAATAGATTACGTATAAGGCTAGTAATTATTTATATACTAGATATATTACTACTAGTAAGATTATATATTAAATTTTTTAATTTTTAAAAGTAAGCTATTAAAAAAGTAAAATTATTATTTTCTAAATAAATATATTAATATATAAATATTTATAATTTTTATATTTAATTATATTAAATAATAGCTTATAATTACTTATTATTTAAAGTAGTTAAAAAGTAATATTTAAGTAACTTATTAATAATATCTAATAATATTCTATTTTACTTAAAAGATAGCTAATATTTTTATTAACTTACTTACTTATTTTTTTACTAAATATATATATAATTAAAAGTAAAATAATTTATTACTTATATTTCTTTTTCTTTATTAACTATTTTTTATTTTACTAATTAACTACCTATCTATCTATATTCTTATTTTTTTTTTTTTAATTATTAAAAAACTACTTTTATATAGCTTATTTTATAATTAAATTATTACTATATTTAAGTAAATAATCTTAATATAAAGAAAATTATATAAGAAAGAAGAAAAATATAAAATAAAAGAAGTTATTCTAAAAAACCAGTTCTTAAAAACAACTAAAATAGAAACCTAAAAACAGTTTAACTAAGAAAACTAAAAACTAACTTTCGGAAGAACCGGAACACGAAACCTAAAAATAAAGTCTACTAGTAAATCTAAAATCAGGTTTCTAAACTAGAAATAAGTTTTGGTTCTAAGAAACAAGTTTTCGAGAACTTAAAAACTGATTTCTAATAAAACTAAGAAACTAAAAACTAGGAAATAATGATTATAGAATTCCGGGGTATCCGAATGACGTCTATAGTATTCCGGGGCATCCGAGAAGTAACTAAGTTACTTTTTAATGTTGTATAAGAAGAAATCGATTATACATAGACCTATTTCCTCCTCTTTCCTTCCAGCTTTAGAAATAGAAGAATAAGGACTTCTTTACACACAACTCTAATATAATAACTGTTTTTATATAATTATTTTCCCTTCAACTTCTTTATTTCCTTAAAAATTTTAATAGTTTAATAATTATTATTCTTTTATTCCTAGAATTCCTTATAACTCTATTAATACTTCTTATATTTAGCTTTTATCTCCAGAATTAGAATATAAGTATAGAGGTTATAACTATAAATCTTATTATTTTTATATATAAAGGCTATATATTTATTCTAATTATACTTTCTTTAGTAATAATAATATAAAAAGTTACTTTTTTTAATTAATACTATAAATACTTTAGTTCTATTATCTTCTTTAGAAATCTTATACTTTAATAAAAATCTTATCTACTTCTTTTTACTAATAATATTAATAAAAATTTTAAAATAATATTTAACTTCCTTATAGAAGATATAAGCTAGATCTAGTACTATTATTATATTTAAGTAAAAAATAATTTATTAAAAAAAATCTATTTTTTTAATTCTTTATTAAAATAGAAACTAGCTATTAGGTATTACTACTATACTACCTCAGACAGTATATAATCACAGGCTAAACAGCAATCCTACACTACTATCTATAAATATAAGCACTCCTATACTTACTTACTAAAAAGAAGAATAATAATCTAACTTTCTTAATAGCTTACTTACTTAACTATAAAATCTAGTATATAATCTTACTAATAATAATATACCTAGTATATAAATAATTACTAGCTCTATAAGTAATCTATTAATAGATATCTATTTTAAAATAAGTAAACTATACTCCCTTACTTCTATAATTATAAGTTATTACTTATATATAATAGTAAGGTAGTATACTAAAGCTATAATAGTAATAGTATTACTTAGTTTCTCTAAGAATCCTAGGCTCTATTTATCTCTATTTCCCCCCTTCTCTCTTTTTTCTTTTCTCTTTAAGATAGTAAATAAGTAATTAATAACTTAAAACTAGCTAAGAAAGCTCTATAAGAGCTACTAGTAAGGAATATATTAATAATATAAGTAAACTATATTTAGCTTATAAATAAACTAATAAGTATATAAGAACTAGTATAATAATATATTAAAATAAACTAAATATTTAAAAGTAAGAAAGATTAAAAAAAGTTAACTATTAATAAGATAAAAGACTTCTAAAAACTCTAATAAATATTATTAAAGAGAAAAAAAGAAATAAATAGTAACTTAAAGATTATCTATTATCTTAAATTAATTTCTAAACTAACTTATAAATATATTTAAAATAAGCTAGTACTAAGTATTATTATATTAAGTATTAACTAACTAAGAGTAGAATTAAAAAATAGCTCCCTAGAAGTAATTCCTAAAAGATAACTTTAGGAAAGCCTCTTATATACTAGGTAATAAAAGAAAATAGCCTTACAAAATAAAATACTGGTATACTCTAGTATATAAACTCCTAAACCCTTAGACTTAGCTAGATAGAATAATTTCTAAATAACTATATAGTAAAAAAAAAAAGACTACTTTCTTAACTTAGCTTAAATATAAACTTAGAACTAACCTTAATTAAGTAAAACTAAGAAAAATAGCTATTTAATAATTAAGAAAGTACTTTATTATTATTATATTCTATAGTAGCTAGCTAGTAAATTATATTTAAGAAGATAAAAACTATACTAATCTTTATCTAGAAAAGCTAATAAACTTTATTAAGAATAGCTAGCTCTATAGCTTTTAGAAATTATATAACTAGTAAACTAAATTCTAATTTAAATATATTAATATAAGTATTCTAAAATACTATAAAACTAGTAATTTAAGGATAGTATAAGTAGTAAGATAGCTACTAGTTAAATACATAGATTACTAAAAATATTAGTTTCTTATAGTTAGATATAAAAAAAAAATATAAAAATTAAAGCTATTTTATAAATAAAAAATATCTTTACTACTATACTATAATACTATTTACCTAGGCTATTAAAGCTAAAGAATTACTAAACCTAGTTTTGACTAGCTTACTTTTAAGACTTCTATCTTAAATATTTTAAAATAGTATTTTAGAATAGTAGTATAAGCTGTTACTATATTTAAGTGAATAATCTTAATATAAAAGAACATTATAAAAGAAAAAGGAAAAATATAATATAAAAAAAGTTATTTTAAAAAACTAGTTTCTAGAAAAACTAAAATAGAAACTAGGAAATAGTTTAACTAAAAAACCTAAAAACTAACTTTTAAAAGAACCGGAACAAGAAACTTGAAAATAAAGTTTACTAGTAAACTTAAAATTAACTTCTAAAACTAAAAACAAGTTTTAGTTCTAAAAAACAAGTTTTCGAGAACTTAAAACCTATTTCTAATAAAACTAGAAACCTATAAACTAGAAAATGACGATTAGAGAATTCCGGGGCATCCGAATGACGTCTACAGTATTCTAGGGCATCTGAGAAGTAACTAAGTCACTTTTTAACTTCTATAAGAAGAAATCGATTATATATAGACCCTTTTCCTCCCCTTTTCTTCTAGTTTTAGAAATAGAAGAAATGGAGACTTTAAGGACTTTCTTATATATAATTCTAATATAATAACTATTCTTATATAATTATTTTCTATTTTAACTTCTTTATTTCTTTAAAAATTCTAATAGTTTAATAACTATTATTCTTTTATTTCTAGAACCTCTTATAATTTTAATATTATAACTAAAGAAAGCTTTTAAATAGGGAGAAGCTAGAGATTATATAAGTATTAAATAGGGAATACTTAAATATATAAAACAATAGAAGAACTATTCGGAGTTACTATATAAGATAATCTATAAGAAATAATAATAATAAAGTTAATTAAAAGAAGAACTAATAACTATTATTACTAAATAACTTAAAAAGCTTATTTAAGAACTTATTCTTCCTATTAAAAGGAAGAAAAAGAAGAAAAATAATTATAGTTATAGCCTATAGTAAGGAATAACATTCTTCTACCCTATCCTTATAGTCATGTAAGAATATCACCTTTTTTATTACAGTTACCTTTTTCTCTATTATAATATAATTAATTTCTTCTTATAAAAAGTTAAGACGTGACTTAGTTACTTCCCGGATGCCCCGGAATACTATAGACGTCATTCGAATGCCCCGGAATTCTGTAATTATTATTTTCTAGTTTTTAGTTTCTTAGTTTTACTTAAAATAGGTTTTTAAGTTTTTAAAAACTTATTTTTTAAAACTAAAACTTATTTTTAATTTTAAAAGCTAATTTTAAGTTTACTAGTAAACTTTATTTTTAAGTTTTTTATTCTGGTTTTTTTTAAAGTTAGTTTTTAATTTTCTTAATTAAATTATTTTTTAGTTTTTATTTTAGTTTTTTTAAAAACTAGGTTTTAAAATAATTTTTATTTTATTTTATATACTTCTTATTTTTATTATAATATTTTTATATTAAAACTATTTACTTAAATATAATAATAGCTTACTATTAGTAATACCTTATTACTTTAAACTAAAATATAATTAATAACTAGCT